GGAAAAGCAGAACCAAGGCCCACTTTCCCCTACTCAGATGGGGTATTGGGCATACAACTGTGTCCCTTCTACCACCTCTCCTTATTCTAGAGCTGTTATTCATGTTGTTCTTTAAAAGGTTGCAAAATTGTGCCCTATGGCAGGTCTCACTCATGGATAAGGCAGGGTAGATTTGGCATCCTTTATTGCTTATGAAAGCTTATGAATCTCTGATTTAGTTAATTTATAAAGTGCAAACCTACCCTACTTTTGCCTTTTTTCACACTAATACAGTTAATTACCTTTCTCACTCATGCCACTGTTACCCATTCCATGGTCCCATTGACTTCGTAGGAAAACCCACGCAAATAAAAGATGCAGAAGTAAACCTGAGGAACATGATAAAAACAATGTATCTTTAAATGGAATTTAGAGTTACTTTTCAAACAGTGCTAATACAGATTACTCACATGGTAGTTTAGAACAATTAAGTCTGATGATAGGGGTCCATTGTAACTTAAAGGGAACATCTTAAAATATATAACCACAGGTTTCTCCTGGCTCATCTAAGCTATTAAAAAAACTTTTACCATTTAAATGAAAAGCTTGTGGTTCTGCACTTTAAGCTGAGCCTTTTAAATTGCAATGTGCCTATATAATTAGACTAATTGTTTTTAACTACCATCTGAGTAATTAGTAACAACCATGGTAAAAAGTAATAAACTAAATTCAACCCAGGTCTTACTCTAATGTATTCCCAGAGCCAAATTAATTCCCGGTGTAATTCCAGTCTATTTTCTGTGAATGCACATAGATGTTTTCCTGTATTCAGGCTGCAAGGTGACAGATAATGGAATGGAAGGATTGCTCATCACTCATCAGAGAGTGATTTTCTATTCAGTGACAGGCAGCAAAATTTTCCTATCACCCCCTTTCAGGCCTTCCTGTGCCCTGGTAAATCCCAATTGCTTTAATGTCCCATCAGGTCACTGACAGATAGAATAATTTAGGGTAGTCCTCTAACTGCTCCAGATTGCATCAAGGGTATGTCTACAAACTGCAGACATACAAATAGCTCTGCAAGAAGCAAGTTATTTTAGCTCCAGCTGCATTCCTGTGCCAATGCAGTTATGCCATTCAGAGCCAGCCCAGGTATTGCTACATGGTACTGCACTGTTCTGTGTGGACCCACTGGCCCCAGGGGCAGATGTTACACTTAAGACATGATTAACCAGTTAATTATGTCTTAAATAGGAATCCAGCCACAGTTCATGCAATTAATGGTATGATAAAACAGGGAATAAGCCACAAAATTATTACACAAAATGCATGCGATAACTTTGGGGCTGGTTTACTTTGCATCTTGAACTGAACATGTAGCTGGTGCCCTCCTGGGGCTGGGGCATGCTGGTTATCTGATCATAGTTTCCAGCCTTTGAAGTGTATTGGAACGCATATCTATCTATCTATCTATCTATCTATCTGTGTGTGTGCATGTGTAAAATATTTTGCAGTAAGAATTCCACTAGTTGCTGACATTGTATGCTGTATAAGCAAAACACTCAGAATAAAATGTCTTCCAAGAATTAAGGCCCAGGAGCCTTAGTCTGCTGTTTCCAAAGAGATATTATATGCTGGCAGCAAGGACACCCATTTTTTACTTAACACTATTATTGGCTTATCGAGAGAACTGACTGTGCTATGAAATTGCAGGTTAAATGTTTCTTGAACTCTTTTATACTAGGCCTTCACACTGTGGTAGACATAAGGAAGAGAGTAGGTCTGCTTTATTTCCTCAGCATTGAGGCTCAAGCCCTCCATTCCTATCCTTCACTTTTTCTTTCAAAGTTGTCATACAGTCAAGCCAGTTCCACTTATTTAATATGACCTGACAAAGAAGCCAAACACACACTTAAATCCATTAACCACATGTAAATCTAACAGCTGCACTATGAGTCATTTCAAGACCAGCTAACTGAATAGACAATTGTATTTGTACTCGGCTGAATTAGCGCACAGTCTGTGAAACCCTTCATCTCTTCTCAGATCAAGCCATACAATTTGGGGTGCAGCCATACAGAGTACTTCAGGTATGGGGAAGGCATAACATTTAGGTATTGACTCAGCTCCAATGAATGTCTTCAGTGTGAAGTACAGGAACTCTGGATAATTGCTACCAAAAATTTCCATAGATTTTGTTTCCTAGGTCTTTAGCCTAGGAAGCCTGAGGAAGACTCAGTAGTATAATAAGAGGTGAACAATTCTGGGCGCCACACTTGAAGAAGGATGCGGATAACCTGGAGAGGGTCCAGAGAAGGGCCACTCATATGGTTAAGGGCCTACAGACCAAGCCCTACGAGGAGAGACTAGAGAAACTGGACCTTTTCAGCCTCCGCAAGAGAAGGTTGAGAGGCGACCTTGTGGCTGCCTATAAGTTCATCACGGGGGCACAGAAGGGAATTGGTGAGTATGGATCTGGCCTGCCAAGGAATTCTATTCGGCCCACTGTGGGTCAGTTGATCTCACCAATCCTAGGTGTAGGAAGTAACTGGGGCTGTGACGCATGTGGCTGGTCCCACCGCCTCCGGGTGCATGGCATGGCAGGAGCAGCATGGTGCAGTGGCCAGACTCTGCTTTCTGGCAGCCCCCACAGCAGCAGCTCCTTGCTGCTTCCATCACCACCATCTCTGCTGCTACCAGATCCAGCCCTACTGCTGAGGCACCCTGACCCATCAGACCGGCGCACATCACCAGGGGCACTGGATGGAGTGGATGGGCAGGCAGGCAGAGTCTCCACAGAGAGTGGCCTGGGACCCCCATGGGCAGGGCACACTTGGCCAGGCAGATGGGGTGGAGCCATGGGTGGGTGAGGAGCAGCATCTGGGAGCAGGACAGGTGGATATGGGTGGGGGCAGGGGCTGGGGCCAAGGATCACAGGGCAGTGACCTCATGGGGCCAGGACCTGGGGCAGAGCTGTGATAAACTCCCCACGTGACAGGCACATGATAGGAGCAGATCACAGCTCTGCCCCAGCCCCATGCCCCAACCCCGCTCTGTCACTACGCTGGGATCCTGACTCCAGCCCTTGCTCACTGCTTCCACTCCCTGACGCTGCTCCCCACCTGCCTGAGGTCCCATCCCACCCTGCCCGCAGGGGTCCCAGCTGGTCTCCACGGAGGCCCAGGCTCCATCCAGTGCCCCCAGTGGTGTGTGTGAGGTGGATTGGCCTGGGCTGGATAGAATCAATTGCCTCCTACAACCTTCACCAGGCTGGGACAAGTCATTGCCCCCCACTCCCAGCCTGTAACAGCTCATCAAAATTCCTAAAGTAGCCCTCCAGGCAAAATAATTGCTTGCCCCTGTACCAGAGATTGTACACAGACAAAATGAAAGATGGCCTCTGTCGGAAAAGACTTACATGCTAAATAAATGTGATTCGGTGTGTCCTGGACTGTTAAGGGAACAAAATCTATTGAGTTTAACATAAACCCCTTCTCTAGATTTAATTTTAAACAATCTAATGGAATTATGTCCATGCAACAGAATTCAATAGAATGGTTCAAAAACACCTTAAGAACATCTTCTATTAAATTATTTAGCTCTTCAGTTCCTATTAAGCTTCATAATGTTTCCAAATAAACTTTTTGCTTTAATCCTTATTACGTTACTTAGGTTTTTTCACTTAATAGAGATGATAAAATGGTTCAGTCTCTACACATAATTTAATCTATGGTCTTTATGAGATTATCAACAAAATGTGCAAACAGTTATGCAGACCCAGACATCACTAACTTATTTAATATATAGAACACCATAATGAACTGTATGCAACCTGCTCCTAGCTGATTGCAGGCATGGCAGTAAGGTGTACCTTAGCAAAAAAAAGGAGAAGATGACCACCAGCTTTCTAAATGCCACCAGCATTTCTAAATGCCTAGTTTCCCATTCTTGAGGAAAATCCTCCAACTGTATGTGATGATAACAGGAAATTAAAGGAGGCAGTGGATTTTCTCTGGTCCAGGCATCTTTCAGACAAAAATTCATTTAATAGAAAGCTGAAGATGGCCTTGGACAGCTAGGTCTGAGAGTTTAGGAACAGCCAGGGAGTAAGTTTTCTTAGACTCGCTTGGCCTTCTTCCCTGTTAAATCAGATCTGGAACAAATTTAAAACAAGTTTTACCTATGGAATAAAGACCAGCTTTATGCAATTAATAATTTTGTGTGTTCTTTTAACAGACTAAAACTATTACAGTTGCTTCCCTGAAGCAAAGAGTACAACTAGGTAGTGCCTGAAAATGAAAATACTAATATTCACCTCTGTGCAAAGACGATAAAAGAAATTTAAAAAATAAAAATAAAGGCTTTTTTTCACCCACTCTCCAGTGGGGCGTTTACCTTTCAGGGCCCATAGTGTGAAGCCAGGAGTTCCGTTTCCTAACAGTTATAGTCTCCTTTGTTAAATCCATTCCTTTCTAATACTTCCCAGTCACTTTCTTCATATGAAGTTTCTCTTTACCCACAACAGTGGTTTGTTTTTTCCTCCATACGATAGGCCCAGTAGATGCTTCCACAAAACAAATTAATAGGGAAATTGCAAAAATTGCAGAAATTGCAAAATTGAGTGATGTCTGCAAAGTTGGCAGGGGGGAAAAAAAATATACTAAAATAAAATGTTGGCTCTGTAGTAGGAGCCAACAGTCCTAATAGCTGCTGTGACTCTTGAGGAAGTGGGAAGAAGGGCTGCCAGCATGAAGGAGGGCAAGCAAAATGGCTGCTGCCTCCTCCTCTCACTGCTGATTGGCTGAGAGGGCTGCCTGTGGCCCCATCCCTCTCCACCAGTAAGCAGTGAGGGGCAGGGCCACATGATGGACAGATCTTTTAACCAATCAGTGGCAGAAGCATAGAGCCACTGGTGCCCCCCAGCCAGTCAGAGGTGTTGGGGGGGCTCCCTGTCACAATAAGCCTGCAAAAATGGTGTTTGGCCCTGTGATCTGCCTGTGAAATTGGCCACCTGCTCCACTGAGTTGGGTAGACCCCCTACAAATTAATAGTCAGCTATCTGGGTGTAAACTTAAGTAGACAACCTGCAAGGAAAAGTGACTGTCTTCCACTGCCAAATTTCCAACCTTTCCTTAATTTTCTCTTTTCCCCCATTTTGTAAGCTTTTACAGTGAAGCTGAATTGATCACTACACAATCACAGGAATTCTGTCCTTGTCAACAAAGTGCAGTGATATCACTCTTTACAAGTTGAGGCAGTTTCTACCGTTATTTTAAAAGGATGCCTCAACCCTCTTGTTCCTAAAAAGAGCCCAAACCATTCTTTAATATAGCACTGCATCAATGATGCAGGTTCTTTCTGTGCTCTAACTTTAAGCAAAACTAAGCTTAAAGAGGTTATAACCCTATTACAGCTACACTTTCTAAGGGTATGAAATTTTCACTGCTAGAAATCTTTCCGGGAGATATGTTGTAGATACATTGGAGGGTAGGTCTAGGATTCAGAGTGACCTAGACAAACTGCAGAACTGGGTCCAAAGAAATCTCACAGGTTCAACAAGGACAAGCACAAAGTCCTGCACTTAGGATGGAAAAATCACATGCACTGCTACAGTCTGGGGACTGACTTGCTAAGCAGCAGCTCTGCAGAAAAGGACCTGGGAGTTACAGTGGACAATAAGATGGATATGAGTCAGCAGTTTGCCCTTGTTGCCAAGAAGGCTAACCTCATTCTAGGCTGCATTAGTAGAAGCGTTGCCAGTAGATCAAGGGAAGTAATTACTCCACTCTATTCGGCACTCATGAGGCCACATCTTGAGTACTGTGTCCAGTTTTGGGCCCCTTCCTCCCACTATAGAAAGGATGTGGACAAGTTGAAGAGAGTCCAGCAGAGAGCAATGAAAACGCTTAGGCGTTTGGGTCACATGACTTGTGAGCATAGGCAGGGGAAGGTCTGTGCTAATGGGGCTCAGCCCTTGCAAATGCAGGGCAGCGGGTTGGGCCACTGGGCAGCCCAGCCGCAGGCTTTGGGCAACTGCAGCAGGGGTTGGGAGGGGCACACATGCAGGCAGGATCACAGCCTGGTGTATGGATCACTGGCTGCCCAGCGTGGCAGGAAAGTATCAGTCAATTCTGTGAAGGGGAAGGGGCTGTGGGGGTACACATTGAGGCTCCCATGGTGAGGGAAGGAGTGGGGCAGAGTCAGGGACAGGGGCTGGGGTGAATGGGGTCCTGGCCAGGCTGGGCTGTGGGACAATCAGAGCCTGGGAGGGTCATCCAGAGGTGCAGGGGGGCTCTGCTGCTGCATGCACCCAGGCAGAGTGCGCTCCCCCAATCTGTGCACGGGGTGGAGGCGGCTGCCACTGCGTGCTGATCTCTGCACCCAACTGCCACTGCCCCAGGAGTAGCACAATGCCATGTACCTGCCATTGCTGGGCTGCACTGTGCCCCCTGCCTGCCCAGCAGTGGGATGCACATGGTGTCATGTGGCTCCAGAGGCAATGGCAGCAGGGCACAGAGCCCAGTGCACAGCGGCAGCCGCACAATGGTGGGAGCCCCACCCCACACACACCCCTGTACAAGCTTCCCAGTCTCCAATTGTCTCCCTCCCAGCCCTGCCAGGGCCCCATTCACCCTAACCCCTGCCCCTGTCTCTACCCCACTCCCTTCCTCACTGCTGGGGCCTTGATCTGCCTCCGCCCACGGCCCTTCCCCCTCACCTGCCCCTTCTCCCACAGACTTATCTGCTGGGTGGGGAAGGAAAGGGGGCCAGCATGCATGCATGTGCCCATGAGCACACATGCTCAGCCCTTCCAAATAATTTTTTCTCCCTCTGCCTATGCTTGTGAGGAGAAGCTGAGAGAACTGGGTTTATTTAGTTTGGAGAAGAGAAGACAGAGGGGATTTGAGGTCAGCCTTTAACTACTTGAAGGGGGGTTCCAAAGAGAAGGGAGCTGGAATGCTCAGTGGTGACAGATGACAGAACAAGCAGCAATGGTTTCAAGTTGTAGCAAGGGAGGTTTAGTTTGGTTATTAGGAAAAACGTTCTTACTAGGAGGGTAGTGAAGCAGTGGAACAGGTTATCTAGAGAGGTGGTGGACTCTCCATCCTTGGAGGTTTTTAAGGCCCAGCTTGACAAAGCCCTTGCTGGAATGATCTAGTTGGGGAAGGTCCTGCTTTGAGCAGAGGTTTGAACTAGATGACCTCCTGAGGTCCCATCCAATGCTAATTTTCTATGATTTTATGAGGGGGCACAGTACTGATGTTCAGCCTAAAGCTGCCCCCTCTTCCCTGCTCCTGGGAAGCCTCCAGCCTGGGAAAGTGTGTGGCTCATTGCCTTGCTGCTCCACTCCCCTCCAGACCAGACCATATGAGGAGATGATCAGCAGGGGAATCTCTCCCACCTATTCCCCAGACAGGCACTGCTCAGTCTGGAGAAAGGGTGAGGAGTAGTAGGTGGCTGAGAGGAGAGTTGAACACCATATAGATGGCCATTCTTGTGGCAGAAACTCTTTCAGGGCAGGTCTTCCAGACCTGGAAGATCTTGCCACCAGAGGAGACATGTTTCTTCCAGGATAAATTGAATGAATGCTTGTTTACTCCTAGTTTCTACCAGAAGTGGCATTCTCCTGATAGAAACATAACACCTGTACATGGCTTGAGTCTGCCATTAAAGACCAATGCTAAATTAGAATATATTACATATGAGTAGACTAGGGAGAAAATATACTTATTCCCATTTTTAAAAAAATGTCCATGGTCAATTCCAATGCAAGGGATAGGAGAAGTTTAAAGTTTGTCATGGAGATATCCTTTAGAGAGGAGGCGTTCCTTTCATAGATGCAGTAAAAATTGATTTATGAGGGTCTGAAGCTTTTAGCTGAAGCCTGGGCAATAGTTTGTTTTGTTTTTAGAATAATAGAGGCTCTTAAGCAAGGCTAGGGTGGATGACACTTTACTATTTATGGGCCCTCACACTTTATGCACAGGGAATGTGGCTGGACTGGTTGCTACACCTTACAATTTCCGCACACACCTCATGCACTGAAAACCCTCAAAAGTCATGAATCACTCTTCTCCTCACAAGTCATGGGGTTAACTTAAAACCATAACATTTTGTCTTCAGCTAATTCATTTTGTGTTCTATTTTGACCTTTTATGATGCACTTGCTACAAACTTCTAAAAATGTTGTCTAAAATTATGACAGCTAAAAACCTTTGGCTGAAAGCAGTCTTATATGTCTAACACCTGGGGCTTTGCAAAAAGACCCCAACAAATACCTTGAGATTAGTAATAAAAATGCCATCACAGCACTCTGATAGAACCATAGGTCCCGTCCCAAAATTTTTCACACAGAATGGTGGGAACCTGAGTACAGGGAGTCAAAAAGCTTGAGGCTAAATTGATTTAGTCTTTGCATGTTAGTTTAAGCTTCAGATATTAAACTGAGAAATAACTGGACATTCACTTTTGATTCAGGAAATACAGCCATCTACCTGCAGTGGCTCAGGCCAGAAGAGGGGGTGCTACTGCACTGCCCTCTGGCATGTAGCCAGCATGGACTGTGTGTTCACTTCCTCTTCCTGCTGTCCCTGAGGTCTCTGGGATTTGTAGTCCAGAATCACAACAGAAGGACTCTGCAGGGTTGCTTATCCCTTCTTCTTCCTCCTTCCAAGTGCCTCTGGGATTAGTAGACCACAGTTACAGTCATAAGTAGGTTTTTAGCAGGGCAGGAAAGCTCTGTACTCAGGGGAAGGGAAGTTTAACCCCCCTCCCTGGCCCCAGGCTCCAGCCAGGGTTTGCTTGAGGTGGGGGGAAGTTCCTGCCTACCCTGCCCCGCAACCCTTCTCTGCTGGAGCAGACCGCACAGCTCAGCCCAGCCCAGGGATGGAAAGCATGCTGAGATGCTGGGGGACTGTGATTTAACTTGAACAAGGACGGGGCCTCAGACAGAAGTCTCATAAGCTGGTTTGACCTAAATCAGTTAAGTTTGATAACTACATTCAACCAGGTTTATCTTAAACCAGTTTCAGCCATTTTGAAACTGGTTTATGTGCACTGAACTTCTGTTCTGTTACAGGTTTAAACCCGTTTCTGATTACTTAAGCCGGTTTATGTGTAATGTCTGTCCCTAGGCCTAAAGTCAGTATGTGCAGGGTACATACCAATTTTGAGAGGTTGGCACAAACCTGATTCTAGATTTATTGTTCTGGCACTGTCTAGGTGAGTGGTCCAGGTTCTCAACCCTTACCTGTAGTTACTGATCTGAAAGCCACTAAGACTGCTTATAGACGTGGACAAAAAACCCAAACAAACTCAGTGCTTTACTTTCAACTCCATGCACCCCCACTCAGCACAGTTCATAACCAGAAGAGGCATCATGTTAGTTTGACCCAGCTCACCCAATGTCTGTATAAATTGTGCACTTCAGCAGAGCTTTTTGGTGCTTTTTTCTAATAGCTGATTGAATCAGCTTTAAATAAAAGTGCCAAAAAGCCCCACTGAAGTGCCGAATCTATACAGATGCTGGGGAGCCAGGTCAAACCGACATGTTTCTCATCCAGTAAAGCACTGCTCC